GAGAGAGAGAGAGAGATAAACCAGAACCATGTAGGGAGAGATGTTTGTTTTTCAGGGAAAGTTCAGTGGTGTAGCTTGGAGAAGGAAAGCACTTTTAAAAACAAAGCAAATGCAGAGTCTATTCCAAGGCTGGAGCCCCACCCTGTAGCCACTCCCGTGGGGTGTGGTGGAGTGCAGTGAGAAGGACAGAAGGACAGAAGGACTTGCTTCATAAATCCAGAGGAGCCACCAAACCCTAGTCTTCAGCTGCTCTTCCCAGGAAGTCTCCTGCCCTTGGGATAAAATCTCTGAAATAATCCACAGAACATATCTCTGGCCAGAGACGGGATGCAGGGCGGGGGGACTAAAGTGTTTATTCTTCCAAACTCCTCTCCCCTCTCCACGGCCTGCAGGTTCTCGTTCCAGAAGAGGATGGTGTTGGAGAGAGCCCCAACCATGACTCACTCAGAGCTAATCCTTAGCAAATCCATCACCATGGAAACTGCCAATCATTCATTGCTTAACAGAACATCTGTCAGGGGAAAGCCAAGTGATACAAATTGCTCGCCTGCCTACCGTATTTGCATTGGGGCCCCTTGAAAACAGAGAGAGGGATAGGAGAGGCAAACCTCCACAGCAGGATGGTGGCCCAACTCCGGTCACTAATTAGCTGGGTGACCTTTAACAATCCTTCATAAGCTCCTCCTTTCCCAGCTGGTCAAATAAAAGGATCAGGTCAGTGATTCTCACTGATTGGGCTGAGGGGCGCGGGAGGGACAGGGAAGCACATTCCCTAAGAGGAGTGGGGTAAAAGAAGTTTGTGTAGACATTTGTTCAATATTATAACTTTATATTTGGCATATTACAAAATAATATTTTCACAATTTAAACCACAGAAAATAAAGCTTGACTAATATTCTTGGGTAACAATTGTGGATGAAAAAGGGGCCACATATTGAACCTGAGAAGCTCAGGGAAGGGCAGCATGGAAGGCCCTACAAACTCAGAAACCAAAATTAACCATATAGGATGGTCTGATCATGAAAATTCCTAACTAAAGCAGGTCATGGCAGGTAGTCTACACCCTGGGCCTGTAGCTTTCCTGACAAAGGTCAATCTTTACCTTAAGTAAGCAGGTCTATTGTCTTTTTGCACCTAAGATAATGTTCCCTTGGAATGTCAGAGTAATCCCTTTTTTTCCAGAACCCTCAGGGCACAACCCCCTGCACCAGAGCAGGAGATCACAGAACCCCTCCTGGTTATCTTGTCCCACCCCCCATGCCATCTCTATGTGCTATAAATGTTCATCATTAACTCACCTGTACACACCAATTTAAAAGAAGCATGTGTCTCTCCATTTTACTTGTTATTCAACCCCAGAGATTTCCGGCTTTGCTTTCACCTGCCCCCTTCATCTATCACGAATAGATTCCACGTAAACCGCCTTATGTCTTCCCCTTTGATTCTAACGTATAAAATAAGCTGCAAAACTGCCACTCTCTGGAACATTTTCTTAATCCGTTGAGATTTTGCTCCCAGCAATTGTTGTCATTTTGGCTCAAATAAACTAATTAAAATTCTCCACAGGTTTGGATATTTACTACGTCTTCAAAGGAAGGACAAAGATACCCCTCTTTGGTCCAGGGAGGCATCTCAGAATTTCCAGTATACGTGAGGTTTTTAGTATGTTATCAAAAACAAACAGCTAATTCCCCACTGAAAGGAGAGTAATAGAGGGAAGGCTTGTCACCCCACATCCCCTCTCAGACCAGGCATCCCCTCTCTCACTGATGACTTTGGAAGGACTCATATCACTGGGGAGACTGGCTCGGAATTCCAAAAGGAGTGAGAAAAGGAGTGGAACAGGAGGCAGGAACGTGGAGATGGGTGTTTGGCTGTGAGGAGGAAAGATAGAGCCATTGCTAGGGGAAAAAAACTGAGGGATAAAGGAAGGGTGATTAAAATTGCTAATTTTTTTTTTCATTTTAACAGCTTTACTGAGGCTTAACTAATATACAACGAGCTGCACATGTTCAAGGGTAAAAGCCTGCAAAGTTTTGATATATGAATACACCTACAAACCCATCACCATAACTTATTTATTCATTCACCTGTTAATGAATATTTTTGTGTTGTGTCCAGATTTGGACTCTTACAAATTAATCTGCTTTGAACTTCCATGTATGTCTTTATATGGACACATGTTTTCATTGCTCTGCAGTAGATCACTAGGAGTGGAATGGCTGGTGTATGTTTAATTTTTAAGAAACTGTTTTCCAAAATGATAGTACCATTTTATATTCCTATCAGCAATATATGAGAGTTCCATTTTCTCCAGATCCTTGCTAACATTTGGTATGGATAGCCTTTTAAATTTTTGGCATTCTAGTAGTTTCTCCCCCTGTTCTATTTGGAGAGCAACAATGAGCAAGGGACTGGCTACACATGGGAAGGCAGAGGGAGAGAAGAGGAGCATAAAGAGACAAAATCAGCCACCCCCAGGGCATTAACACGGCCTCATCAAGAAAGAAATGTTTCCCTGAGATTGTGCCCTGGGGACAAGCCCAGTCTTTAGCAAACTGCTATTTCCTATGGATCATTTAATCAGCATGTTAGCTTACTGCCTTCCAGGCCAAGCCCTCAGCATGAAACAAGAGTTCCATAGGCACCTCAGCTGTGCAAGGCTCCTTCTAGGCCTCTGCATAACAGGAACGTGGGGAAGGTAGTGTGAGGAGAGTCCCTCACTGCCCATGGGATCCTGGTTTTGGGCACACCCAGCGCGGTAAGAAAAGACAGCAGCTTTTCTCCCCTGACCCCTGCATCCTCCCCTGGGAGAGGATGCAGGGATCAGGGGAGGGGAGTTGCTAGACCGAGTCTGCACTCATCCCAGGGTGTAAAGGGCAGCTTGTCCTGCAGAGGAGTCCATCCTGCTCAGCCTAAGAGAAATATGCCCCCTCCGTTAATTTGGCCAAGAGGTGTCAATTCATAAGTATAAGGGTTAAGGAGGATTAAACCATGTTGGAGGCCTTCAAGAATTATGAACAACTCACTATTATAATAAGAGTTTTAGTCAAAGCTAAGGCCATCTTTAAAGTCAGATATTCATTCTAAGAGCACGTGAAGGTCAATTATGATTCTGAGTTTGGGGAACCAAGCATTCATATCCCTAATGTGAGCCTGAAAAAGAATTCGAATTGCAATACCTGTAGCTGCTGGGAAGAACACCCCAAAGACAGTGAAGAAAGACTCCCCAGGGCTGTAATCTGGCAGAGTATTGTTCTGTAGCAGTTCTGGTGAATATCCAATAAAACCATGGTCTGAAATATACAAAGGAGAACAAAATGAGCCAAGTAATAAGATATAGCACAGGCTACCCTAGATTACAGTTCTATTTTATGTAACTTTAAATGTTAAAGTGTAGGGGTGTGTATGTGCGTGTGGCAGAGAGAGAGAGAGAGAGAGAGAGAGAGAGAGAGAGAGAGAGAGAGAGAGAGAGAGAGAGAGAGAAAGAGAGAGAGAGAGAGAAAGCGCGATCCGACACAACGTTTTCCTTTCCGCTTCTAGGCCTGACTTGGATGCATCTACATTTACAGATATAGGTAAGTGAAGTGACAAAATAGTTAACAGCAGTAACCTCTGGGAAAGGGGGCATTTTTATTTTTCCATTTATAGACTTCAGTATAACTGGAATCTTTCGATGAGCATATATTTACATGTTGGCTTTTAATTTAAAAAATTAAGTTACCTCCTTGGCTCAGAAACTTTTCCATGGGTCTCTGTTAGCTACAGAATAAAGTCCAAACTCTTTAAGATGAATGTCAAAGTCCTTTACAGCTAGGCAATACCCTGCCACTTCCTATTCATCCTGTGCCTTTTCCTCTCCCCAACAGTCACAGAGATGACTCTTCCCAAAGCAATGCTAATACCAATCTCCCTTCTCCCACATCTCTAAGCACCAATACAGAGTTCACTCGGCAAGCCTGTCTCAAATGCTGCTTTTGAGGGGGCTTTATATGAACTCCCTAATCTGAATCAATTCTTCCTCCTAAGTGCCATTGGCACTATAACTAGCCATATTGTCTTTCCCCAACTAGACTCCTTGGGGCAATAAATTCAGTCTTACACCTGTCTGTTCCCCAGAGTCAAGCACTGTGCCTGGTACACGGCATGTAGGTCACAAACATGGATCACACTGAAAAGAATCTTTCTTGGCTATGGGCATATCTCGCTTCCATGTGATTCAGTCTGACTTGTTCACAGACTACTTTATAGAAGGAACATCTCAGATCCGATTTCTTCAAAGCATTTTAAACATTTTGTACATTAACTTTAATGAAATTTTTCAAGTGGGTTTAATCCGGCAGACACTTTGCTTCTCTGTCAAAGGAGGTCACTTTGAACAGCATTGAGGGCCATGTCAGGGGGCTATGGAATTTTAAGAGACAAGTATTCTTGGGCTCAGGAATACCCAGGATGTAAAGCCTCTGCTTTTAAATCTCCTCTCTGAGAATGAATTGGTTTGTTTCTATTAACTATAGTCTAAGAGAAGCCAATCCTGCCCCTTTTCCCTTAACCCCTGCAATCATGGAGGATGAGCACTCAGCCATCAGCATCAGTCCATAGCCAACATCGAGGGCTGTGGTGACCAAATCTCTTGCCTGTCTTCCACCTACCTCAGGGCTTAACTTCCCCCTGAGCTTCCATCCACAAAAGAGCTCCTGCTCACTGATGAGTCCAATGAGATCACCAGCGCGTCGCATAGCTTCCAAGATTCATAACTTCATAGGAAAAATATTTTCCAAAAAAATAATAAAATGAAAGCTCAGTGAAGCACAAGGGACCCTTGGGAGTCCAGTCGGGACTTAAAATCATTGTCGACTGCTCTCTTTTCTGAACACAGAATTTGTCCTGGGATGTTAAATTTCAAAAAATGGGCCACATTTCTGAATGGTTCGGCATCTTCACAGCCGGTCCTCCCTTCGTTAACAGAAAAGGTATACTAGCTAAGTCGACTTTAGTTTATCCGCTGGCTGACCCCATGACTAGCCATTCTGAGGAGAAAACCATCCCAACCTGTCTTGGAATGGAGCTCAGCCAAGCTGGAACGCTGCATAGGTCTGAAAGCGCATCTAGGCGCAGGGCTATGCATGCCGAGCAGAACGGCCAGGCAGGACATTAACCCTCCGTCAGGCTCCGTTCACCTCTGCCTCCCCTAAGGTGGCCCTGACCTAGGCAGGCATTTGGTCACCCAGTCTCAAGGGCTTTGCCCTGGTCAGCCTGAAGCTTCATAGGGATATAAGGCCCCATAGATGAGTCACTGGGAACCTTTTCTCTCCCTCCATCCCATCTACGAGACCCAAAGATGAAAGAATGAGTCACTTGGCTCACACAGCACTGGGCAGGAGGCTTGCCTCAGTCTCCTCCCTTCTGTGCAGGGCCAGCGAAAAACGCAGCCCTCACACATTCACAAGCACACACTCACACCAACACCACCACTGACCCGGCCCTCTCCTCTCAGGTCCAGTTCTGAATCTTCCTCAAGGAAATAATCTTAACTTTGAAAAGAACTTTATGGACAAAGATGTTTGGCAATGCTTTATTTGTAATAACGTAAAATGGGGGGGCGGGTCTAACTGTCTAACTGTGGGGGTGAAAGTATTTTAAATGCTTATAAAGGGATTTTAGTACCATAAAAAACTGTCCTCGTTATATATGATATATGTTAAGTTAGAAAACTGGATACCATTTATAGTATAAATACAAAAAAAAAAAGGTTTTAATTTATACATGCAAGAAAAGACTAGAAAGAAACATACCAAAATACTGTGTTTGTCTGTATAATGCAATTACGGGAAATTTCCTTTTCCTTCTTTTTTGTATGTTTACAGATTTTCCACATTGTCTTTAATGAGCATAATCGACTTATCATCAAAATATAATATCTTCTAAAAAAAACAAACAAAACATCCCACAACTGAAAGCCTACTTTTTCCAGATGGATTTCCTATAAACAAATATCTTTTTTTCTTTCCATCTATAGTCTCTCTACTTCTCAAAAAGATTTCAGTGGTTTATGAGAAAAACATAAGTAAGATAGGGAAAATAAAATAAGGATCGAAAAATGAAAAAAAAAAAAAAATGAGCAAGAGAGAGAGCTGGAATGCCCGCAGCCCCTAGCCCTCAGTAGAACTTAGCCTGAGGTCTCTGAATGAGGCTCTGAGGTAAGATCCTGCAGTGCTCTCCCTCAAACTAGAATTAAAGGACCAGAGAAATCATTTTATAACTTTTTTTGACCAAGCCCACTCAGGCAGGGACAGACCCCAGGGCCTACTCCTCACATGTGCCACTTTCCAATGGATGAAAAGGATCCTCCTAGGCTTACATGGTGGGCCTGCCTCATTTCCTCTGTCTCTACCTTCCTAGGCCCTTGTGACTTCCACCCTCATAACCCTCCCCGCTATTGCCACCTCAGGTCCTAGACCTGAGCCGGCACCCAAAGAAGAGTGGCCCCACTGACCCTCACCCAGCTCCTGGGGCCCTGGTCTCTCTCCCGTGCCCTGAACCTCATGGTGTGGCTGGACCTTGAGCTTATGCAGAGCGGATACCCAGGTCAGGCATCGATGTCTCTGATTGGTTTGTACTTGCTAGCTGAAGCCTGGGGTGAGGTTAGCTGGGCTGACCTCTTAAAGTGGGTCTTAATGCCCGATCAAATCAAAGGGCTTTCTTCTAGTCATGGCCCTGAGACTCTGATGAAAGCTGTGGCCCCTCTCCCAATAGACAACACATTTTGCATAACATTTGGGGCTTCCAAGGCCTCCAAATCCTTTCCGGAAGGAATGGACTCCAAGGTTCAGGACCTCTACTTTAGGGGCTGTCTCAGCACGTGAGATCGTTTAGCCAGGCCCTGCATGCACCTACGGCAATGCACGTATTGCATCCCAAGTCCTGACTGCCACCGTACCCTAAGAGTGGATGGTGGCCCTAAGTGACACAGCCAACAATGTTCCATACTGCAGTCCCTGCCAGGCAATGCCGAGTCTCTGTACGCGGGGATAGTGCAGGTCCCCCAAGGACATCACAGGGCAACTTGTCCTCTGAGGATAATGAATGGCCATTTACTGAGCACCTCCAACATGCCAGTCACTGGGCACTACAATGTCATCCTTTACAATGTCATCCTTGATCCTCATCACTACCCTGTGAGCTCAGAGGTGAGGAAACCAGGCTCAGGAAGGTACAGATTCCTGTCCAAGATCACACAGCCATACCTGCCTATATTACAGCCATTGCCTCTCCTCCAAAAGGCTGGTCCCTGGGCCCTGGCGCTGCCCTCTCTCACAGAGATATGCATGTAGCCTGGGTTCCCTTCAACCTTATGAAACATCCCCCAGAGATCACAGCATCCCCCTCTCTATGTCTGTCAGGGGCAGGCAGGGGGGTCCACCCCGTGAAATGCCATTGGCAGAGGGGTATGCGAGTGGCTGGGGCTTGTACAGCTGGGAGGAGGCAGAGCCCAGCCTGAACCCCATGTCTGTCTGAAATGAATGCTTCCCATCAACCATGTTGTGTCTCTGTAACTCATCCTGGAGTTGTTTCCCCAGAGGCTTCTAAAAATGGTTTCTTTGCTTCTATAAGCTTTTCGGCTCCTTTGCTGGTAAAACGGGACAGCCAGGCTGGGTCCCTTTCGACATCTTTCAAATCTAAAAGGCCTGAGGTGCATGACACCTGCAGCTACTGCAGGTGAGTGTGTCTGACCTGTGTTTGACCTAAATATCTCTTTCTAGGTCCACAGAAAAAAACGCTTTGGTCCCATTTGAATTACGTGCTTTCGAAAGAACCAAGAAAACAAATCACAACAAAACCCAGGCAAGAATAGGCAGAGGGAAGACACTTGCAGAAAGGCGTGGCCTTTCTCCCCGGAATTCAGGTGACACATCTTCTTGGGATGCACCAATGTGTTGTGGTTCTGCAGGTCCACTGCCTGTTCCCAAGGGGAGCTCATGGAACCCCACCACTTTGCCTCAGCCAAAGTCACAAGTGGTGACAAAGTGCAGCTTTCTCAGAGCTAGGCTGGGCCCCAAACCCTGTGGTAAGGTCGCTGCTAGGAAGCTCTTTGTGGAACCTGTAGATCCCCTACTCCTGCTACCCCCATTCTGGGGTCTGCCGAAATTAGAAGAGGCAGGCAGGAAGTCATCAGCCCCCACATATGGATGTCAGATTGCAACCACTGACTAACTTAGAAAGTGAGTTTTCTAAAAATTACCCTGGCACTGGGGCCCCACCACCCCGTGGTGAGCCACAGGCTTCCGGCACTGGC